GCCAAGCCCTTGAGAGACGCCTCGCTGGATGCGTGGGCAAGATGGGAGGGGGGGAAGCTGTGGGATACAGTGGGGAGCTGGCCCACTCCATGGACACAGCCAGACACTGGGAGGCTCCTCATGACTGCAGGACACCCATGGGTGGCCCTGTGCTGCTGGGCACCCGAGGTGCTGTGCTCTGCAGGGCAGAGGGGGCAAGGGACTCCCTGGGGTGGGGGTGGGGAGGTCTTATTGCTAACAGCTCCACTGCAGTGACACCAACAGGCTGGGGCTAAACTGGAAGCAGGGTGGGGGTGAGGGGGAAATCCCAGGGCCTTTTGCCATTCGATACCCCTGAACCCATTGGCCTCCAAGCCCTGGCAGCAGGGAAGGAGCAGACCATGGGGTGGTGAACCCCCAGCCCCTGCGCTTTTGGTAGCTGGCGGCAATTGTCTTTCTTGCAACAAAAACGGGGCCAAGGAAGTGCCTGCTGCAGGCAAGGGGCTGGGGCATAGGGCCTCGCAGGCCACACTCATGCCCTGGCGGCTCCCAGGGCCTGACAGAGCTGAGCTGGAGCCCTATGGCCCCAGGGCAGCCCACTGGGGACCCAGCCTGGGCCAGGGCACAGGGAAATTTGGACTCCATGGCAGCTGAACCTGACTGTGCTGGGCAATGCCATGCTAGTGGAGGGCTGTGAGGAAGGGAAACAGGGCCAGCTACTTGGGAAGGGCCCAGCGAGCTCCCAGCAGGAGTTCCCCCCAAACAACCCCAAAACCAAGTGCTGGGCCATGCTGTGGGCCGATCCAGTGCCGCTCCCTGGCCCCAGTTTCCTTCCAGCTTGGCTGGCCCTAGGGCTGCCTCGGGAGCCCATCCGCCCTCCCATCTCCTCTCCACGTCCTGCCACCATCCCACTATCCTGCCCTTGTCTCACCACCCTCCCTCGCAAGCCAGGGCCAAATGGATACCGGGGAGGATGAGGAGCAAGACGGAAGGGTGTGTGTCTGCTGCTAAGCTGGGCACCGGAGCCAGGGGGCGGCAAAGTGGAGCCCCCTCCTCCTCCGGTGCCCAGCGAGGAGAGAAAAGCCCAAGGCAAAGAAGACGAATCAACCCCGAGGGAGTGGCAGGCCCTGGTGGAGGGCATCCGCGAGGCGGGCAGGGGCTGGCGGGACGCTGACGGATGAACAATGGCTCTGGAGGCGACATTGGCAGCGGCGGCAGGCATGAGCCTCAGCACGATACCTCCATGGTGTGGTTGATCTGCCCCATGGCCTCGGTGCTCTCCGAGTGGGTGCAGGCACGCGGGCGGGCACCGTCCACGGAGCTGGCGCTGGTGAGGGAGGTCGTG